CTAAATGCCCGTCGACAGTATTCTAAGGGACCAACGGGGGATAGCTGGCTAGGCTATATCTACCTTAGGTACTGAAGTTTCCTATTTAATTTATATTCCCTTAGAGGAACTACCAAGGGTCGCACTACAATATATATATATAACACTTTAGGTTAACAACGATATAAATAAATATTTATTAAACAATTAAAATATTAAATAGATAATACAACCTGCTGGACACCTAGAGATGATATAATCCAACAGGGAGCTGACGGCGACACACACACACACACACTATAATATACGGGGTAGCAAGTTAAGTTAATTATTAGACAAGTAGTGATCGCGAAGATGGTAAAAGGTCAACTGTCGATAGGGATATCTTAATATGGCACATTGGCCGTGAATAGCAAAAAGTGTTTATGTGTGCAGTCCGCCCTCCTGTTAGTATTGTTGTATGTCACTGTGCTAATTATATATATAAGTCTATTAAACGGTACAACGATGGTATGGGAGACTGAGATATGGGCACATGCAAATGTGATCGTATCAGTATCAATTGTAATTATAAATAATGGCTATTCAATAAGGTCATAATATGTTATACAAAGGGATTTATTGTTATTATCACATGAAAAGAGTCCGTTATTCAAATTTGTCAAGTAAGATTAAAGGGATATGGGTATGTGGGGATGTGGCGACCGTTGACTGTATAGTGTTGTTCATTTTATGTTTGACCTATTTGGACTGAAGATGCCTGGAATGTTATATTGGAAATCATGTTTGGTAAGTACCACAATAAAATAATTTTTTTAATTTAATAATAATAACCAAGGATTTTATTTGCCACAAATATTCTTTAATAATAATAATAAGCCATAAGTATTAAAGAAAAGAGTTAATTAAAATTAACATTATAAGTTACCCATAATTTTCAAATAAAATAATTCAAATATGCCATAACGTAATGTATCGGACTGGCCGAAAATAATAATAAAATATATGCCAAAATCAAATTATATCGGATTTACCGAAAATAATAGTAATATAAATATTCCACAAAATCGGTTATACCGAATGAAATAATATATAATAATGTTCCAATGAACTAAATCGGACTTGCCGAATATAAATCATAGTATCATATAAGTATATAAGTATGCCACAATAAAATAAATCAATCGGACCTGCCGAATATAAATAAATATATGCCATAATATAATAAATAAATCGGACTTGCTGAATATAAATACATATATGCCACAATAAAATAAATCAATCGGACCTGCCGAATATAATAAACATATAATAAATAAACAGACAATGCTGTAATGTGTCTGGGATCCCAAAATAATAATATAACAATACTATATATTTCAATAGTAATAGTAATAAGGACTTATTTTTCTAGCTAGAAATTACTCACCCAATGGTCGACAACAAAGGGCGGATAGAACATAAATATGCACGAATCGTGATAATTTGAAGTCTCGGTGATCAAGTCGCTACATACGAAATTATACGAAGATGTTGAAGTCGTGGTTTGGATGTTCTATGAAAAGGGACTGTGGCTCAAAGTAAAATGACAAAAGTCATGGTAATGGTCGTGACATTGACCGTGGCTGTGGCATTAGTGATGACTGGCTATGAATGCCTATGAAAAATGGTGAGATGGCAAAATGGCAATTAGGTGAATGCAACGTATACACTATAGAGGTAAATAATTGACCTAGTTATTCGATTACTTGATTATCTGACTCAAGGATAAACAAGGGAAATTAAGTTTTAAAATATTGAACTAAATAGTTATTAGGAGCAAGTCTACAATAATCGAATTTTATTCAAAATAATTGAAAACTACATATATTAATAAATATATATTTTATAAAACTATATTTTACAGGTAGAATGATCGAGATGTAGATCGTAATTCAAAGTAGAGAGATCCTGTGACAGCGAAGAAGTCTTCGATAGAATTATTGATTAAGATGACCCGTCGAATGAACCTCAAAGAATGATTTCATTTGAATGAATAATTAATGGATTTTAATTTAAGTAGTTTAAGCAATTTTTAGGATATAAGATTATATATAAGTAATTAGTATTTAAGAGTAACACGATTGTTCATACTAATCCTTGTATCCGACAGGGGGTAATTTTAAAATTGAAGAGTGTCTAGATTTTTTAAATGTAACCTTGGTAATTAATCAGATTTATTGAATATTCTCTACAGTCGCCACTGGGTAAAGAATTATTGTCAATAACAATAACAAAAACAATTTTTCTAGAGTCATAATTATTATTAAGTGGTAGGTAAGCGTATTTAATATAAATAGTGTACTTTAATATAGCATTTTACCCTTAAACCATCTAGGATTAAACAAATTCGACCATATTAGAACAAAAATAAATTATAATAAAATATTTTAGAATTTTTAAGAGTTGAAACAGCACAATATAATAATATTCGATGGGTCTTAAGAAGCGAAGAGCATCGTTGTCGCAATAAAATAAATTTTTCGGGTGCGTTATTACGCTGACCATGCCTATAATTTATGTCAGCAAAAATAAAAAAAAGTAATAATATCGACAATGATTATTATACACCTTATAATTCTTATATTTTCGGAAAATTGTTAAATTGTAATTATATTGTCATCTCATTACTATACATATTTTACTATATTAGTGCTAGCCCCGGCCCGAGATTTGACGGGATTTTATATTCTAGAAACGAAAGGTTTTAATTGGTCTACGTGAACAGGCGACTCGACCAAAATATTGTTTTTTGGCAGATTTATCAAAAAACTACATGGACCTATTTTCTTTAAAATAACATAAGGGCCTTCATACCTATCTGAAAATTTATTACCCTTTACCGGAACTTTAACTAAGACTTTGTCTCCCGCTTTAAACGATTGAAAATTATTCGATGATAATAGTTTTTGTTTAGTCTGTTCGGATTGTTTCTCTAATAATTGGGTTAATGTTTTTCTAATATGTTTGATTTTATTAATTTCATCGATAACGTTCCCATCGGAAGGGGGAATTAGTGCAATATCAAACGTGCTTTTAGGATTATAGCCGTGAACTAAATAAAATGGCGTATAATTTGTAACCGAATGTATTGAAGTATTATAGGCGTATACAACGGTTTGATTTTGCCTCTCCACCTGACCTTGTGAAGTAGGCTTATACGGATCTCTTAAAAATATTAAAAATACCTTTTTTATATATTGCTTCAAAATCATAGCCCATTAATTTCGTTCGTATCTTGTTTACAACGTAAGATTCAGTTTTTATGTTCATAAAACTTGTTAAGTTTTTATGATCAGTCCAAACCTCAATCTTCCTACCGTGAACATATTGCCTATAGTGGGTAAACGCGAAATGAACAGCTAAAACCTCGAGTTCCATTGCGGAATAATTGGACTCGGCGGGCGTTAACTTTTTAGACGCGTAAGAAATCGGATGAGTTTCGTTGTTATCGTCACGTTGTTGAAGTATAACACCTAGACCTAATTTACTAGCATCTGTTACTTGTATAGTTTCCAAATTTACGTTAAAATGCGCGAGGAGTGGAGGTGTCGTAAGTTAGACTTTAGCTCTTTAAATGCTGTTTCATGTTCAGCTAACCATTTAATTTTTTAATTTTTAGTTTTAAATTTACCTTTAGTCAGATCTGTAAGAGGTTTTGCCAGTTTATTAAAGTTAGGAATAAATTTTCTGAAATAATTGCAAGTCCTAAAAAACTACGAAGTTGTTTAATAGCGTTAGGGGAAGGGAATTTTTTTACCGATTCAATGCCCTCATCGGTTGGCCTAATTCCTTTCGAATTTATGATATTACCGAGTACTTGTATTTCCTCGTATCCGAATTTACATTTTGATGGCTTAAATTTTAGATTATACTGTCTAAATCTTTGTAATGTTATGTATAACGAATATAAATATTGATCGAAAGATTTTCCANCTAACGAATATAAATATTGATCGAAAGATTTTCTAAAAACTGTGCAATCATCTAAGTAGCAAATATTATTTTTATAAGTAAGACCTCCCATAATTTTGCACATAGCGGCCTGATATATTGCTGGAGCATTATTAAGTCCCATTGGAAGTCTNAATTGCTGGAGCATTATGAAGTCCCATTGAAAGTCTTTTGAATTGAAAATGTCCCGTATCAGTAGAAAAAGCTGTATATTGTCGAGAATTTTTAGATAGTTTGAATTGATAAAAACCACTGGACGCGTCTAATAATGAAAAATAGTGGTTACCAGCTAAGCAGTCATATATATTTTGAATTATCGGCATGGGAAAACTTTCTTTTAATAAAATCGAATTTAATTTTCTATAATCTAAAACCATGCGATACTTCTTAGGGGTGACCCCTTTTTTGTCACCCTGTGGGAGGTTTTTACCTACTAAAAATATCGGATTACTATATGGACTATTTGACGGTTCTATTATGGCGGCCTTTAATAATTCGTTAGTTTGTTTTTCTACCTCGGCCCGTTCTTTAACGCTAACTTGAAATTCGGTAAATTTATTATTTGATCGCGATTTAATTTTAATTCAATATCAGGTAATTTTACCTCGCCCAAGTCGAATTTAGTCTTTGAAAAAATTTCATTATAATTATTCAACAACGTTTCAAGTTTTTGTTTTTTATCGTGAGATAAAGACGGGTTAATGTCGAATTCGACCTTTTGTGAAAATTCTGCTTGAGAAAATGTTTCTTTTTCCGCGAAACATGTTTCGTTAACCTGAGATTCGAAGTGGACGTCTGGTGTTGACACATAATTTTGTTTGAAGTGTTAGGTAAAATCATAATTTTTTTGTCTGGAGTTTAGAATTTTACGCCTTTCGGCGACTGTAATATTTTCATTAATATGCACAATTGTTTTAATATTAAAATTAACAGAAGAATTTTTTACGTATTTTAATGGAGACCAATGACAGTGGAAAATAAAACAAACACGTTATCTCGATCGAATACTGTGAATGCGATAACATTTACGTCCGAACAATTGTTATCTTGGGAAAGTACAATTAAATTTTTATTGTAATATGACGCGACGGCTGCTAGATCTTCTGCCTCAAGCCAGACAGGCTGACTTGCAGAATCTACGCCTAGTNGGATCTTTTGCCTCAAGCCAGACAGGCTGACTTGCAGAATCTACGCCTAGTAATACTTGAATATCATGAAAACTAATGTATTTACGCCGCAAAAGCCGTCTTATGGGATATTTTTTAAACCTGCATATTCGCCGCTGTGGACTTAATGAAAACATTGGTAGAATCTTTGTGTGAAAGAATATAATTTGCGACATTGCTAGAACTGAATTTTCCGAAGAGTACGGTCACCCTGTGTGATCCGTCAAATAAAATAATTTTCGAATCATACATATCAATATTAGCCTTATATTTGTGTAGAAAACTATTACCTAAAAGATTATACCCAAAAAATCTAATAATATCCTCCGATAATTTACCCGAAAACTGTTGTGGTAAAATTGAGCTAGCCATAGTAGTTATTAATTTTAACTGGTTTATTTTCTAAAAGTTTTGTTTGCGCAAAAATAGGTTTAGGTTCTACGGTGACTTCGTGTGAAATTTCTGATGGTTTAGCTAAAGGAAATTCGACAACGGTTTTGTCGAGATCGGTAGGGGTGTTCGATTCACTCAAAGAAGCGCTTTTTGTGCTTAGTGGGACCGGCAGAGTACTTGGAATTTTATCAAGATTTTCTGCTTCGGAGTCCGAATCAGATTCGTATTTTTCTGAGAGGGGTGGTTGTTTGAAAACAAAACGTAATTTATTTATCATATCTTTAGTGTGACTATTAATCGGCTGTTCTGCGTTTAAAAATATCAAAATATTAAGTAATTCCTTTTTTGTACAATAGCAAAAATAATACCCTTTCGTATCTTTTTTTTAAATTTCAATTTTTTCTAAAAGGGAGATTTGTTGAAACTGTTTCGGTAAATATTGACGTTTACTTTCTCGTTTATAAACTTCGAATATAGTGCTTTCGTAAATTAAAGTTGCTCCTACTGGAAATTTTATAAAAGCGGTATGATCAAAAGCCTTAGAAACAGAAATACCCCTTTTCTTTCCAAATGAACTAATAACCTGATCTGGTGTTAGTTCCAAAATATTACTATCAAAACCTAATAGATTCCAAACTCTTTCGGTAATTCTACAAGTTTGATTATTAAAGGTGCGTTTTAAATAATAACTATAGAGAGGCATATAAACGTATATAAAAGATTATGTAACTCAAAGACTTAATTTATAGTTATACCTAACTATACAATTGTTACTATTATAATAAAGTGAGCCAATAATAAATAAAAAATATTTAATTTATAAATTAACCGTGAAAAGCGGTATATAAAAATTGTAGTACACTTAGGGGGGATCCCTCACTGAAAGTTTAAAATAAAACAGAGAGATCGGCGCCTCCACCAATTGTTACGTCGCTATTTAGGGGTTTAGCCTAAATGCCCGTCGACAGTATTCTAAGGGACCAACGGGGGATAGCTGGCTAGGCTATATCTACCTTAGGTACTGAAGTTTCCTATTTAATTTATATTCCCTTAGAGGANTCTATTTAATTTATATTACCTTAGAGTAACTACCAAGGGTCGCACTACAATATTTATATATAACACTTTAGGTTAACAACGATATAAATAAATATT